AGGTGTATTTGCATCCTAGGCCATCACCATGGCACAACTATTGAAGTGTTGTTACTACTCTTACCCTTCTAGCTTAGATAAACTTAGAAGCATACCCAGCATATACACAGGAAGCTGATGAAGGTTCACCTTCTCTGTTTTGATGAGCTTTCTTCCCTGTGGGAGTCTGCTTTCCTAATTTTTAGTGTTCTCATGAAGTCTACTTATCACTATTAAAGCCAACTTAGGAAAGAATTTGAAAAACTCACCAAATTAAGTTGAACATGATAGGTAAGTACAGTATAGAAGAAAAAAAAATCATTCTCAAGATCTCTAATGGTAAAACTTTAGTCATCGTTTGGCAAGGTAAGTAACGTATGATAGGAAGATTATTGCATAATCTTTCATGTTGAGATCATTTGTAGGAAGCATCTAGCATATTGCTGAACATGGTGTAGGTGCTATATAAGTGTTGACTTCTTTTTCTTCTCCTCTTCTTCTTCTCCCTCCTCCATCTTTCCCTTCTTCTCTTCTCTTTCTTCTCCCCCCTCACTTCTTTTCAGAATACTTTAAAAATGATGCCACACAAATGATCACCCTGTTTTCCATAGTTAAGGCTGGCTCTGCTTAAAACATTCAGAAATTCTGTAGGTAAATGTGTCCCATGAAATGCTTGGGCTCAGAGGACACTATTAAAATTCAAATTCCAGTTTCTTCTGTTATTATTAACTGTGCAAATTGCTTGGGAGAATTGCTGTACAAATGTTGCCATACTTCAGGTTCTATATCTGTCATATAAAATAATGAAGTGATTTGTCCCACAGAGGTGTTGTAAGGATTAAATGTGTGTTTGTCACTGTACCCAGCATGTATGGTAAGTGTTAAGCAAATGCAAACTATTATGGTATTGTTATAAAATGAAATGAACTGGCATTTGAGCAGTTTGGGGAAAAAGGCATACCGTTTTTCTAACTGCCACCTTCCACTCTTACCCTGGGCTGTTGCTTTCTTTCCTGTTTCTGACATCTCAAAGCCATAGTTAGGATTTCAGTCATGATCTTCAACCATATCTGAACACTTTTCTCATGCATACATCTTCATTTCCACATTAGGTGTGTACCTAGATGCAAATCCTGATGATCAGGTCTCAATTAATTCATTTGGACATGTCTGCTAACAGTGTTAGAGTTTTGAATAAGAGTGATGTCTTTTGCCAAAACAAATTTGGGTTGTAGTCTCCCATTGTAAATATCTTGGGTCTTCTTATGTATATGTGTGTGTACATGCTTAAAATGGAGTATTATAGTTAAATATTGTTAAAAATATATAACTCCAGTGGCAACTTGGTCTGTAGCTTTATGCTTTCCTGTCTCATTGTTGAGCAGGTCTACAACTTACAATTTCATGATACTAATGTGAAGAAAAAGACTGGATTTTTAAGTGACAGTATAAATATGTGACAGATGATTTAATTAGAAGCAATGCTGCACATTGATAGGACTGGTCTGGAATGAGTCCTGCATTTGAATCTTAGCTCTACTATTACAGGCATTTGCTTAACTTGTCTGTTGCCTCAACCGAAAACAGGGTAACACCTATTTATATGGTTGTCGTAGGGTTTGCATGAATGATGCCTGGCAAATATTAAGAACTGAATTTACTATTTCATTTCTTTTCTCCAGAAAAAGAAGACTGATTGACAAGTGTCTGGGATTTGTTCAATCCCAATAGGGTTGTCAGGAAAATCATGAGAGCTAGACCATCAGCGTACATCATAGTAATAGAACTAAGGATTTAAAATAAAATATACATGGTTTTAAGTTGTGGATCTATCTCGCATTTTACACAGAAAAAAAAATACATCATGACTTTTCTGATGACCCAACATATTTCTTGGTCAGCTTCTGAGATGTTCTTTGGAATTTATTTCTTAAACCTTTTATTGTCACTTACTCACAGAAAACAAAGAGGAACTGATTTCTAATGTATTTCAAAATGTGTGTATTATATTCGATAGTCACACTATTAGTTATAAAGTAAACAATGAGTGGGAGAGGGGCGGGGAATTGGATGGCATGAGTTCAATGGCATACCTGGGAAAAGTCAATAGTGAAGTCAGAACTTCAGTTTTTGTAATACTGGAGGAAAACACAGGAACAGGTTTTAAAGCAATGAATGATGAGTTAGAAAGCTGAAATTCTTTCCTGATGATGTCTAACATTGTATAATTTGCTTGTTCTCTTTGCTCTTCTGTGTACTATTAAAATTTAAGATAAGGGCCAGCAGGTGGCATGGTGGTTGAGGTGCTGGACTCCCACATGACTGACTGGGGTTCAAATTCTGTACCTTCTTGCAACTCATGCCCGGCATGTGTGCTAGAGTGCCCAAAATCCTAGGAGGAGAATGGAGAGGAAGAAATTGCTGCGTGGCTGCCCCCCCCCCCCCGCCCCGAGGTGATTTCTTACTTTTCCTCTCTCTGTCTCTCGCTATGGTGAATGCATGTGGCTAAGGCAAAAGTCCTAAAAATAAATAAATAAATTTGGGATAATAAAATTTAAATATTTCTAAAGCCCACTTAAAAATGTAAGGGGAAAAGGTGATACTGAAATGCAAAGTAGAACAATAAAAACTTGCTGAACACATTCATTAATTTACATAGACAATCCTGTCTTTGTTACATTATAAAATGCATTTTAAATATTTTTTTCTGGAGAGGTTTTTGCTATAGGGGATGTGCACTTGCCAGAAAGACAGAGGGAGACAGAGAGACAGAAAACCTCCCCCAGGGAGGATGGCCACACCCTTGTAATCCCTTCTCCTCCATTATCCTCTTGGAATCTTGGGCATGCATGCATATGTACTTGGTGTGAGTTTAAGCCACGGGGTCTGGGACTCAAACTGTGGTGGACTACATGGGAGTCCAGTAACATAGCCATTATGCCAACTGCTGGTCCCGGTAAAACCTTTTTTTGGACTCCCACACTTTCAAATTTTTTATCTGAGTTATCTTTAATATTATTTTGATTGATATATTCTGGGGTACAATGTGATATTTTGATATATGAATATAATATGGCATGATTGAATCAAGTTAATTAACATATCCATCTTCTCACTTAGCTATCATTTCTTTACGGTAAGACATTTTAGATTTACTTTTCGAAGTTACATTTTTTTTAAAGATTTATTTATTTATTTAATTCTATTTGTTATTATTTTTAAATTTTACTAGAGAGAGGCAGAGAGAGAGAAAGGGGA